TAAGATCGTTGCAGTAAGAGATAAACAGATAAACAAATGTCTGTTTTTTTATTATTTTCATGTGTCTGTTTTTTCTTCAATCGATTCCATTGCCAAATTCTCATTTTCATTTATTTGCTTGTTATCCATTCCGTTTTCATACTATAGTGACAGGGACTACACGGACGGGTTTATTAACATGGTCAACAACGATTGGAATGAGTTCGAGGGATTCTTCAAGTCAGGCCGCCCAGAACATATAATTGATGAGGCATCGACTGATTTCAAACTACAGATTGAGCAACATTTCAATAGTCACATTTTTCATCATTCTCGCCCAGATGCTGAATTTCCAGATTCCCCAAACAACCGGAATTTTACAATCACAGAAACATGTAGCAAAACACTGGTAATGACCACACTGGCATCGTTTACATTGATATATGTTGTCTTCTTTGCAATGTCATTTTTTTGTTTGCTTCTCAAATATCAGTTCATGGTTGATTTTTATGAAAATTATAGCCTGTATTATTTTGGTTTGGCAATCGTTTTGGTTGTTTTGATTGTCTTTTGTGGGTGTATCTTTATGAATGCTGACAAGCACTTGTTAGCTAGCATCGGAAAAAAATGCCAATCAATCAAAATTATCAAAAATATTTTATGTTAATAATAAAATCACTTAATTTTCATAATTTTTGTTCTATTTTTAGCATTCATTTATTAAGAGATCATGTGTTCTGTTTGTTTTTGAACACTATTACATTTTTGACAATTTTTCTTTCCAGCAAAACATCATAAGCAAATATATAGAGCTCTTTGAAAGAATAGTTCGTCTCATCGGCTTGGCATTATCGAAGTTGATTCAGAAAATTGTCCCTACTAAATTACGTGGATTCGTGTAATTTGTATGATTTACATTGAAATAAATCACTCGTTTGTGCTGAACATGTAAAAGCAATAAACATAAAAGCAAATGAACATATTTGAATTGGTTTTATTTCTTTTGTTTGAAACGAGGAATACATAAGCAATTCCAAAGCTAGAATCTGTCTTCAAAAT